CGGCCACCGGCGCCGCCGCAGCCCGCGGGTAGAGGCAGACCAGCATCAGGTGCGCGATGTTGTAGACCCACACCTCTCCTCTCGGGAAGACGAAGACGCACAGAGGCCGCTGCAGAAGGAAAACGAAGCTCCTTTTTTGGCACCAGCAGCGCCTGGGTGCACGAGGAAGGCCAGAGGAACGACCACGGAAGGGCACAAGGGACGGCGAGCCCCTCCCGAACTCCAAGCGGTCCTCATCTCAGCGTCTTGGCTGTAGATGGGGTCCGAGTAGATGGTGTCGGAGGATCGCGCCGCACCGCCAATGCTTCGGCGATGCTTCGGCGATGCATCGGCGATGCTTCGGCAATGCATCGGCGATGCTGCGGCGATGCATCGGCGATGCATCGCCGACGTCGGCGACACATCGGCGACGTCGGCGTGGAGAAGGTCGGGCTCCGCATCGAGACGCATCGCCGATGCATCAGCGATGCGGCGCGATCCTGCGACCCCATCAACTCCGCCTCCATCTAGGAGGCCTAGAACGTAAGACTCGGATTCGGGGGACTCGGGTTGGCCTGCGGGGGCCTTCAGGAGCACGACGAGACCCAGTCGAAGACTTGGCGCGAGCTACCGCCGCAAACACCCCACGAAAAGCGGACCGCCCAAACTTCAGGACGGGCCCGCCAAGAACACGCGCCGGCCAACCCGAGCTCCGGCCGGCCTCGAGCCTTGCGCCCCCCCCGATCCTCCGGCGGGCGAGGACGTCATGGTCTGCCGCGTCAGCCACACGAGCACGAGCTCCAGCAGCACGGCCCCGGCGCAGTACAGCCACTGCGCCGGGGTGAGCAGGCCGCGGAGCGCACCGAGGCAGCAACGCGGCCGCCCGGAGCCCGGCCGCGCGGCGCACTTTGCTGGCCCTGCCGCAGACGGCCCTGTGGCTGCCGGCCCCGCCGCCGCCGCTGCCAGCGCCGTGGCCGCGGGCCCTGTCGCCGCGGGCCTCGTCGAGGCGCCCTCGCTGTCGCCGTCGGTCCTGTCGCTGTCGGTCCTGTCGCTGTCGCTGTCGGTCGCCGTGGGCGTCGGCGCCGCCAGCTGCGCCTCCACGTCGCGGGGGCTCGCGGCGGCCGCCATGAGTGCGAGGGCGACGGCCACCGTCGCTCGGGCGCCCGCTGGGCTTGGAGGCGGCTTGGGCGGCGAAAGGTCTGCGGTGACCCCCTCCGGTCCTGGCGTCAGAGATCTGGCGCTCCGGCCAAATTGGAGCGGCGGGCTTTTGGCCGTTTTCGGCCTTGGGGAGCCCTCGCCAGGCCTCGGGGAGGTCAGAAAACGACTCAGGCCAGAAAACCGGCCCTAGGGAAGTGGTCCAGACCTCCAGGGCCCACGCATCGAAAAAATTGGAGCACCTGGATGTCCAGGTTGTCGCCCAGTTTCGGGCCCCAGGACCCTCACAAATCGACCTGGCTTGAAACTTGACGCAGAAAGAGGGGTCTGGGGATGTGGTCGTGATTCTTCACGATGTCTCGATTTGTTCCCGCCGTCGGGTTTCAGGGTAAGTAGTGGCAGGCATGAGATGGCGAGATCGGATCGGACCAGAGACACGTCGGATCGCCAGCGAGGAGCCCCGAAGCGAACCGGGATCGGACCGCCGTGCCTCTGGCTGGCCCTGGCCTCCAGGGGCCGTCAAAAAACGACTCAGGATGAGAAACCAGTACTGGGGAATGGGTCGAGACTCTCGGTGACCCCACATTGAAAAAATCACATCGGATATCTGGGGGCGGATCCGGCCGCTGCAGCGAGGGAGCCGTCAGATGCGGCCGTGGGGTCCAGCCGGGGTCTCGGAGTGCAATGGGCCGCGCCGTCTTGATGTTTCCTGTCTCCAATGCGCTTTGCGGCCTGACCCAGGGACACGCAAAACCATAGACACAAATCCCGGGATCTCCCATATTTTAATATTTTCCATATTTCCTGGACGCTGGCCTCCCTCTCCTCCTCCTCCTCCTCCTCCTCCTCCTCCTCCTCCTCCGCCTCCTCCTCCTCCTCCTCCTCCTCCTCCTCCTCCGCCTCTTCCTCCTCCTCCTCCTCCTTCCTTCCTCCTCCTCTCCTCCTCCTCTCCTCCTCCTCCTCCTCCTTCCTCCTCCTCCTCTCCTCCTCCTCCTCCTCCTCCTTCCTCCTCATCTCCTCCTCTTCCTCATCCTCCTCCTCCTCCTCCTCCTCCTCCTCCCTTCCTCCTCCTCCTCCTCTCCTCCTCCTCCTACTCCTCCTCCTCATCCTCCTCCTCCTCCTCCTCCTCTCTCCTCCTCCTCCTCCTCCTCCTCCTCCTCCTCCTCCTCCTCCTCCTCCTCCCCCCCCTCCTCTCCTTCCTCCCCTCCTCCTCCTCCCCTCCTCCTCCTCCTCCTCCTCCTCCTCCTCCTCCTCAAGCCGCCGCCACGGCCCAGACACCCGCGAGCGGCCCATCCCCACCCACAGTCAACACAGACCTTTGACGTGTGGAACATAGGGCGCATCGGCGGGAACGGGGCCGCTCAGGGCGGCGCCGTGAATACTCACACAGCAGCCCGCTACCGTACCCCCGCCGCGTTGATGTTTTTTCCATGCTTACTCTTACATTGCTCGCTGTGCCACACCCGCCTCTCCGCCGAGGAAAGCAACAAGAGGATAGTGTACCGCAATGTGCAGTGGGCAGACTTCATCATCCTCGAGGAAATTTCGATGCAGATGGCCAACGGCGACGTCGACGGAGCCATTGGGACGGGCAGGGCAGCGCGAGGCACGGATTACAAGAAGTACCAGCTGCCAAACCAACAATGCATCCAGCACAGGTGGAGGAAGGTGGACGGCGTCCCCAATCCATGCGGACTGGCAATACTACTGAATAAGGGACTCAGTGGGAGTGTCCCGAGAGCGGCTACGACTCCGACGACGAGCGGCATCACGGGACGGAATGGCATGATTACAGTCAGTATGAGCACAATAGACGTGGCGTCGTTCCCCATCTTCATACCACCGAGGGGCACGGCCGTCAACCAGAGCGAGCTAGACAAGTGGGGTCACAACAGCCTCCCCATCATTTCTGGTGACTACAAGTGCGCTTTTGGAATACGCCGACACACAACAGGGAATAAGTACATCGAGGCCACCGAGTCTAGCGATACAGAGGAGCCCGCCCTAGAGAACACCACTAGCTCGCAGAGGAGCGACCTCAAGGATGACAACCACTTGGCGATCGGAGACACCTTCATGGGGACAGGGAACGCCTACTACAGAAGCGCCTACATAAGCAACTTAGACCATGTTGCTTTGCCTGCGAAAGCCATGCGCAGGGTTCGCCAACCTTAGACGTCTCCAGATACACGATCCCGCGCACCTGACCGACCACAAGCCGATCTACATGAAACTGGATGGGCACAGCGCCAAGACCCACAACAGCAAGCTCACGCCACATGCCAACTGCGACCTGATGATGATCGCTTTCACACGGGACTATAAACGCCTGGAGCTTTCAAAACAAGAAGAGGAGAAGACCCAGCAGGCAGACGAGATGGAGTGGCGCAAAGCCTGGGACCAAGGCAACGTTCAAAAATGGTGGGATATGCTTTCTAACAATATTCGTGAAGCCAGGTTGGAGACGTTCCCCAAGCAGGAACAGGAAAACATCGGATACGACGAGATTGGGACGTTGGAAATCGATCGACACCTCGAGCTCCCGAGAGTTACGAGTGAAGGGGGGCTCACAACACACAGTACCCATCGAGACCGTCTCAGCCCCGAAGGCGCCCGACGAGCAGCCCGACCTCAGAGCGGTGATGGAGAAACCGACGACGACAACAGCCTCACAAACGAGTACGTATGCACGCACGAGATGGGGGAGGAGGGCAAGGGCAGAAGCTGCGGAATGACATTGAAGAAGAAAAACAAGTTCGCCCCGCGCACAGGGATGACAAGATCACAATGGGATGACGGACCGAGCCGACCGCCACAGCTTGGAGGAATGCAAAACGAGAACACTGATTGGCAGGAGTGGATCGCCGGCCGCGCCTCCATGCTGCACACCCACGATTCCTTGTACGCAGACGACTTTGGAGATCAGACTAGCCAGCACAGTGCAGGCCAGAATCGATACCTACGCAGAGCCCCCAAAAGACGTGCAGGACCAGCACGAGGAGTGCTAGCGCAGGCACCATGCATGTGCAGCGACAGGCGATATCACGACAACGAGCACGAACGGAAGTACAACCCAGAGAACTTCAGCAGACGGCAGTATGATTTACACGTGCTGATCCGCCTGGAAGGAACAACCCCATAGAGAACCACTCGGTCGCAGTCGTTCACCCAAGACAAGGGCAATGAGAAGCTCGTGGACCAAGGGCAACAAATCCTTCATCGATTCGAAGTGCCACGAGAGTATGGACAGAAGCAACCTCTTCTAAATCCATGATCGTCAGCACGAACATGGGTACATGGTGCCGTACAGCAGTTGCGAGCAGAGCACCATGTCTGCGCTACAGGCTCAGGCGACCACAACGACGAAGAGAAAGTGCTGAAGCAGAAGACGTCGCCCAACAACGCGCAGATGATCAGGCAACTGTCAGGCAGCCAATGGGACCGCTTTCTGATCTACGGCGAGTACTCAGCAATGACCGCCGCGGAAGCAGCGGACACAACCTATGCGGAGAAGGCCCAGGAGAAGAACAGCAAGGACTTGGGGACACCGCACCTCCACATCGGCGTAGACTTCCACCTGGAGACGGGGCTCAACGACAGGTCCGACGAAATCAACAAGACGATCCTGAAGGAGGATTGTTCGTTGACCCACGTGACGGGCATGCAGGGATTCGGGGACATCGCCTCGTATATCAAAGTCAAGAAGGCCTACAGCGAAGGGGGACAACCATAGAGATGGAAGCTCTAGTCGACGCTCAACAGCCTCGCATGCAGCCCTCGGACACCCTCATGGGAGGACCAAATCAACGCCTCTCGCGAAGGAAGCCAGGAGCCGCCCGTCAAGATCAGCCGCACCAAACAGAATGGGGACGTCAGGAAAGCCGTCGAGGACAAAATCCGAGCGGCAGAGGCAGTGCAGATATTCTGAGCACCGCCGTTATCAGGTCTCGCGAGGGAAGTACAGGCAGCAGTGTGAGCACGTCAGCTGGCGATGGAGAGATAGAGATGACAGAAAGTAGAGAGCTAGCCAGGGATAGCAGTCGCAAGGCGATGGGCCGCTGCGACGCACCACCACCCGTGATGGTTCCTCTTGCTTTCTTTTACGCGAAGTCGTTAAGCACCTGTCTCGAGGATTTAGGCGCCAAAGGGTGCCTCTGTTGTTCTTCTCTCCCTGGTTCCCGAGGCGTCCGCCTGTTTCGGTTTGTTATATCGTGGGCCTTTTGGTCCGACGCATCATGGGAACCTGGACCTCGGGACCAGACACGTGCACAACGATGGAACGCGCAGCAGCTTTAGATAGAGGGACTTGGGGGGGGGGAGTGTGGGCTGGGAGCGGGCGAGGCGGTGGCGGGAATACTGCTACACTGGGACACGTCCCGAGCCAGGGGCAATTGGCCAGACGGCCCTGAGTCCCTGCCGTTTCCATAACAATTTTGTTTTCGGGAAGGCCCCGCGCTGCAGCGGGCCGAGAGGCTAAAAAGCCAGGGTCCCGTAGGCGACCCGTCGATCCACCGATCTAACGTGCCAGCAGCAATTAGGTTCGTATGCAGTCGAACCCCAGACAGCTGCCAAGGCTTCCGACTCCGACTCCGACTCCTCCTCCTCCTCCTTGTCCTCCTCCTCCTCGTCCTCGTCCTCCTCCTCCTCCGCCTCCTCCTCCTCCTCCTCCTCCTCCTCCCCCTCCTCCTCCTCCCCGTAGCCATTTTGGCTCAAGATGATGAGTTCCTCAGGGGAACAAGTGGATACCGCTAGTCCGCGGCAGTGCCAGGGCTGTTCAGCCCGACATCTTCTCTCGAAACCTGTACGGGGAGCTGCGCGCTGCCGTCCAGAGTCACAGTCCATCCCGCCGCCATGTCGGATCGCAGGCGTGGAGGCGGCAAGTCCCCAGCTCCAAGGGTCTCCTTCTCGTCCGACTACGTGGGATGCAAGAAGTGTGGCTACCGTTGGACCTACAAGAGCAAGCAGTCGTGCTA